TTGGAACATATTTCAAACTCAATGGTAAAAAAAAAATATTCATTTAATTACCAATTTGCATGTGAAATTTTTACTTTTTGGCAATCCAAACAAATTATATTCTCAATTCTAATAAATTTTATTTCTTTCATTGACAATTTTCATGAAAAACAAAGCTAAACAGAAAAGGTGGAAAATTATACCAATCAAATACAATTAATTACAATTCCCAGTAAAACAAATTCTAAGCAATTCAATTCCCTGTAAAACATTATCTTTCCACCCATTTTCCACATTTGCAATCAAACGCACCCTAATTGATTGATACATCTGGTGTGATTAATGAACGAATTATCATGCATTTTACTCTTCAGTTTATAGAAATATAAAAGATTGATCCAAAAGATGTGGCAAACATTCGAGTTAAACCCGAAATTTTACCTTAAAGTCAAAAAAATTTCCATTATGCCAACTAAACTATGGTAAATATTTTGTGATAACGTGCACAGCCACTTTATTATCACTACGTAGTGATGGAATGTACAATATAAATGTATTTTATTTGAATAATTAATTAAATAGAAGGTCAAAAAAAACTTTGACATGTGGTTGAACTAATTTAGATTAAAATCTGCATATATATTTTTGAATTTGATATATATGTAATATGTTATGTCCTCCAAATCGTCAAATTATAGAAGGAAAATATAATTATTTTAAATTTCTTTGAATTAGTTCACACTGTGAAAATATTTAGCAGAGATGGAAATGTTTGAATAATCTTCGATTGGTAACACGATAGTAAATATTTACACGATGTTTAGCAAAGATAGAAATGTTTGAATAAATGCTCCAATTCGAATTGATGTCCCGTAATGATAATATGTTAATATTGAGTTTGATAAAATGTACCGCACATTGGAACTTAATGACATTCATCTCCAAGACAAAAAATTTCAAAAGAAAAGTGAATTTAAAAAGTTATAAGACTCTATAAAATATTCAGATACTCGAAATATTTAAAATCGATATATCTCAATATGTTATGTCATTATGGGAAAATAAAGGTATTAAAAATAAAAAATTACTGACGACACTTTATACATAATGTACCATTTTATATTATGAATGATAGCAATGATACCAAAAGAAATTAATTGAAGAATACCAATACAAAAATAATT